TCAATTGCTTTGTCTTCAAGCGCTGATTTTTTTTTTTTTTTTTAAATGCCAGTACCATCCTGTTTCGGTGTTTAATAGCTTTGTAGTATATTGGATAGTATGATGCCTATAGATCCATTCATTTTGCTCAGAATTGCTTCAGATGTTTGGAGTCTATTATGCTTCCATATGAACTTTAGGATTGTTTTTTCTATTTCTGGGAAGAATGTCTTTTGTATTTGGATAGTGATTGCTTTAATTCTGTAGCTCTCTTTTGGTAGATGGACATTTTAATGATACCAGTTCTTCTAATCCACAAACACAGGGAATCTTTCCATTTGTTTGTGATCGTTTCAATTTCTTTGAGTTCTATAGTTTTTCCTGTAGAGATCTTTCACTTCCTCGGCTAAATTTATTCCTAGTTATTTTGTATTTACCTTAGGTTTTGTAAATGCGGTTGCCTTATTTCACTTTCAGATTGTTCACTGTTGGCATATATAAATGCCACTAATTTTGTATGTTGATTTTGTATCTTGCAAATTTATTGAATTCATTCATCAGTTCTAACAGTCTTTGCTGATATCTTTAGTATTTTTTTTTAATACATGACCACGTCATCTGTAAACAGGGAAAATTTGACTTCCTTCTTTCCAGTTTAGAGGCTTTTGTTTCTTTCTTTTGCCTAATTGCTCTGGCTAAGACCAGACACAACTTCTTTTTCTCTTTTTTCTCTCCTGAATTCATGTGAATTCAGGATGTTATTCTTGTTTTTGAATAGTTTCTAGTTGTGCTTTTGTGGGTGTGGATGAATGATCCTGGAGAATCTTCTATTCATCTGTCTTGTTGCTGTAACTCCTATGAGTCTTTCCTGACTTTAAAAATACAGTTTGCTGTTAGAGTATAGAAGCTCTAATTTGTGTACATTGATTTTATATCCTGAAACTTTTCTGAATTTGTTTATTAGGGAAGTTTTTGTTGAAGTCTTTAGTTTTTTTACATGTAATATTACTTTATAAGCAAACCATGTCACTTTTTCCTTTCCTATTTACATTTTTATTTTCCTTACATAATTGCTTTGTCTGGGACTTCCAGTACTATGTTACATAAAAGTGGCAAGAGTGACCATTCTGGTTTTTTGCTGAATCTTAGAGAAAAAGCTTTCAACATTTCATTGTTAAGTATTTTGTCACCTGTGGGTTTGTCACATGTGGGCTTTATTATGTTGAGATACATTTCTTGTATACCTAATTTGTTGACAGTTTTGGAATTTTGTCAAATGCTTTTCCCCATCTACTTAATCACACAATTGTATCATTCATTCTGTTAATGTGCTATGTGATGTTTATTATTTTGCATCTGTTGAAGCATCCTTGCATCCCTGGGATGAATCCCATTTGATCATGGTGAATGCTTTTTGAAATGTACTTTTAAATTCAGTTTGCTACCTTTTTTTGAAGAATTTTGCGTTCATGTTCCCAAAGGATATTGACCTGTAGTTCCTTTTTTGTTCCCGTGTCCTTCTGTGGCTTTGGTATTAGGGTAATTCTGGCCTTGTAAAATGAATTTAGAAGTATTCCCACTTCAATTTTTTGGAAGTGTTTGAGAAGAATTGGTATTAGTTCTTTCAATTTTTGATAGAATTTTGCAGTGAGTCCATATTGTCCTGGGCTGCTATTTTCCTTTTTGGTGGGAGACTTTTATTACTACTTCATTGCATAATTCATTATTGGTTTGCTTAGATTTACTATTTATAACTCAATCCTGATAGGTTTTATGTATCAATGAATTTATATCTTCCAGTTTATCTAATTTTTGGCATGCAATTATTCATTATACTTTCATAATCTTTTGTATTTGTGGCCTCAGTTCCTTTTTACAATTTCTGATTTACTTCATCCTTCTTAATTTTTTTCCCACAAAAAGACTTTTATCTGATTTGCATTTTTTTTTATCATTTGTTTTGTTTCTTCTCTGATTATTAATTCATCTACTAATTTTGGGTTTCTTTTTTCTAGCTAATTAAGGTACAATATTACCTTTTCTTATTTGAGGTCTTTCTTCTTTATTGATGTAGCCCTTTATTGCTATAAACTTGCCCTTTGATCTGCTTCCGCTGTGTCCTGTAGGTTTTGGTATCTTGAATTTTCCATTTTCATTTGCCTCAAGCAACGTTTTATTTTCATTTTTTTCATTGACACACCTATTGTTTAGGAGCATATTGTTTAATTGCCATTTATTTTGTAAACTTTTGGAGAATTCTTCATTTACAGTTTAAACTGCTGTGATCACAAATGATGCTTGATATTTTTATCTTCTTAAGTCTTTTCTATACTAAACATGTGATCTAATCTAGAAAATGTTTCATGTGCAATTGAGTATAGGGTGTGTTCTGCAGCTACTGAATAAAATGTTTTGCATATGCTTTTTAGGTCCATCACCCTAGAGTGCAACTTAGCTGTTATTTCACTGTTGACTTCCTGTCTGGATAATCTTTCCATTGCTGAAAGTGTGAAGTTTCTTAGTATTATTTTATTGCTATCTGTTAGATCTATTAATAGTTAACTTTATATATTTAGGTGCTCTAATGTTTAGAGCATATATAGTCACAATTACTGTACACTTTTTGTTGAATTGGCTTTTTAATCATTATATAAGATCTTCTTTGTCTCTTTCTACAGTTCTGGACTTCAGTCTATTTTATCTGATGTAAGCATAGCTAGTCCTGCTCTTTTCTGGTTACGACTTGCATGGGATATCCTTTTTGACCACTTCACTTCAGTCTACATATGTCCTTGCAAGTTAAAGTAATTGTTGAAGGTAACATTTTTTATTCATTCTGTCACTGTATGTCTTTTGATTGGATAATTTATTTACATTCAAGATAACTTTTGATACATAGGGACTTAATATAATAATTTTGTTGTTTTCCAGTTATTTTATAGAGTCTTTTTTCCTTCCTTCCTATCTTCTTTTGGGGCTAAGTGATGTTTTATCTAGTGGTATGCATTGGTTCCTTGTGTTAAAATATTATTTGTCTGTGTACTACAGGTTTTTGCTTTGTAGTTACAAGACTTACCAAAAATATTATAACAGGTTATTTTAATCTGCTAAACAACTTAATGTTGAGCACAATAAAACTCTACAAAAAAACATTTTAAGAGATTTTGCTATATTTCCTGTTACAAATGTTTTAAAGATAACCGGCAAATGTGTCTGTAATTATAACCCAGCAAATTGAGAGTTGACACAGGCTCTTTAACTCATCCAAGTCAGAGTAGCCTTTTATACTGTCTGAGTTCAGGAAAATATTAAAAACCAGTTCTCTCACATTTTTCCCAAAACACTACAGAATCTTTGTTATAGTCATAAAATAATTGGGTGTGGTGAGAGAAGAGGAATCTGTACTTTTGAAACCGCCTGATAATTCACGAGTTGGACATAGTCAATTAGGAAATTATAGGCATGCAGCTACCACATTTGTGCTTTTATGCAACAGATTCAGCAGGTCCCACACCTCAAATGTCCTCCTATCAGCCTATCCCGGTGTAAAGGCACAGTCGACTCCACTTAGATCACCGTTCTCATTTACCTAGTGTCCATGTTTTTGGTCTTGCACATCTCCAATTGGTTACCACACAAATAACATTTCCAAAATGCAAATCTGATAATCTCACTATTGTTTTTAAAACCCTGGGCCACACAAAGGCAAGAAAGGAGGCTAAAATGAAATAAGAAAGAAGGATCTCCTGGAGCATTGATCTCTCGCTTGGTGAGAGCCTGTCTTTGCCCATGCTGTGCTTTTCCCTTGTAGCATGTCTCTGAGCACGTTTCCCTGGCTCCACTGTCACACACTCAGCTGAGGGTAACTCCTAGTCACTCTCCAGCACTGAGCACTGAGTCTCTCTCAGCTCCTTGTTTGAACTCAGCTGTCACAGATGGAATTAATGTGCCCTTACGAGCTGTACCCTTCATACACAAGTATCAAAACAATGTATTACATTTGTTTGCATAAGCAACTTCATGTATTTTTCCAATTCCTTGAAAAAGTAGCCATAATGCTATTCCAAAATTTAATCTTATTTAGCTATTTTTAATTATAATAAAGCACAAAATGTTTGTTGAATAAACGAAGGATTGAATGTTGATGCCATCACTCTCCTTGTTTGTATAACAAGTTACATGTTTGAAATCTCAGCTCAGGGAATCACCTAGGCAGGTAACCTTCTCCTAAAACTCCTTCCACTTAGGTTTAATATTTTTTCTGCAGTTCATTATGTGGTCTTACATCCTCAGTATACCATATGGCACTGAATATTTCAGAGGAGAGCAATATCGACTAGATGCTGTCAGAATCGGACCCATGCAGAAAAAGGTAGCCCTCAATAAAGAGGTGATGGTAGCCCTCAATAAAAGAGTAGCCCTCAATAAAGAGGTGATTTTCTCAGTAATTATTAGACGCAATGAAATGAGCATGATTTCTAAGATATCACAATTCCAGAGTGAGAAAGGAATATTTTCAAAAGGAAGAAAAGCCTGGCATTTAATTCTTTATTTGTAAATTATTTGAAATTTACAGAAAACTATCATTAAAAAAGAATAGTACAATACCTACATACCATTCACCTAGACTCACCTGTGACAGCAACACTGTGCTCAGTTTGTTTCACTGCCCCCCTCTCTTCCTCCTTCCCTCTCATTTGAACATCTCATGACCTTTATTTCTCTAAATATTTTATTATGCATTTCCTAAGGTTATGAATACTTTTCCCACAAATTAAAGAGCAGTTATCCACTTCCAAAATGTTACATTACTACAACACAATTGTATAAAATTTTTGGGTGGACAAGGATAGCAAAATAGAATTTCCACACAGTGAAAGAATTCCTCAACATGAGATGAAAATGAGATGGTTTTGTCATTGTGAGTTTAAGGAACAACACGGGGATAAAATCCTAAGTACCTGATGGGTAGAGAAAAGGAAAATAAATCATTATATCCAAATGTCCTACTTTATAATTTCCTAAAGGACAATTCTCACAGTTAACATTTTCTTCAGAGCCCCCATGACATCCTTATTCCTAAGACTATAGATTAAAGGGTTCAGCACCGGAGTGAGGATGGTGTAGAAGACAGATACCATCATGTCCTTCTCAGGGGTGTGGAAGGAGCTGAGGCATGTAGGTGTAGATGGCAGCCCCGTAGAGGATGACCACAGTCAGGTGGGAGGAGCAGGTGGCAAAGGCCTTCTTCCGGCCCTCTGCTGAGTTCATCCTGTGGATGGTGAGGAGGATGAGTAAATAGGAGCTTGAAATGATCACCACAGGGATGAGGAGCATGAGGACACAGCATAGGTACATGAGGCTCTCATAGAAGTGTCCGAGCAGGACAGGACCGTTATGGCAGGGACTTCACAGAAGAAATGATGAATCTCCGGGATCCGCAGAGGGTAGGTCATGGTGATGGGAGTGAGCATGAAGCCATCCACTGAGCCCAGGAGCCAGCAGCCCGATGCCAGGAAGACCCACGCCCTATGGGTCATGAGGACAGGGTAACGGAGCGAGGATGGCAGATGTGCGTAGCGGTCATAGGCCATGGCGGCTAGAAGGAAACATTCCGAACCTGCTAGTGTCCAGATAGAGAACATCTGCATCCCACACTCAGGGGCTGAAATCTGGATTCACACCCATGACCTGGTCCAGGAGCATTTTGGGCACAGTGACAGAAATATGCACACCATGTCCATGAGAGACAATTGACTGATGAAAAAGTACATGGGGGTGTGGAGTGGGTGTCTGAGTGTATCAGAAGGGATCAGGACAGCATTTCCAGACAATGCCATCAGGAGAAAACCACAAAAACAACCACACAAGTAAGAAACATGGATGTTTGGATCGTCTGAAGAGTCCCATCAGGATGAAATCCGGCCATCAGTGTGGTTGGCCATCCAGGTGGTGTTGGCCATGAGGGTTTCACCTGATACCAAGGAGAGTTTTGGAGTTAGCGTAATGCATCCCTTTATAGCGAGTGTTTAGTAAGTACTCACGTTCGTGTATGCCTGATTGTGCTACCTGAGTAAGTCTTGTGAGTCTGGATATTTGAGTATATAAATGACATATAACAAATTTACGAAAAGAATTCACAACTATAGGCCAAAAGAATTGGTAACTAATAGTAAGGTTGTCATGGTTCAAATTAATAAACTTTCCTCATAGTGTCATTTATCAACAAGTACTGCAAATTTGCAGAACCACCCTCCTCTGCTAACACAAATGTGACTCATTGAAAGATAAATCAAACTCGTTATTTCTAGAGTTTTTGTCGTAGAGGGCTGGATTGAATTAACATCTCTGGTTTAAGAAAATGAGCATCTTCAAAATACTCAGGGTATATTTGATATAAAGATGTAGCAAGTAACTAAAGCGTAACTTGGAAAAGTTATACCAGATGTTTGAAACTTCTCCTTCCACAGGATCAAGCCATGCTGTGAGGCTCTGTGATTGCATGAAGCCCAGGCCTCACATTCTCGTGAGCAGGGAAGGGTCTCACGACTGACCCTTTAGACATGGGGGACATGAGTAAAGGAGCACACAGACCCCAGCCATAGGTCCATCTTTTTTTCTCTGCCATTCCTTTCTCCAGTCTACATCAAAGGATACAAATCATGTCTGAAGCTCAGGTGTGATGAGGTAAAATGAGGAAACGTAATGAAAGTGCTTAGAACAGTACAGTTTCTGATGAACACATATACTCTTAGCTTACAGAGTTAATATCTACATTATTCTGCACAATCTACCTAAGATGGTTGCTACTATGATTAATGTATAAGATGCATTAACTTCCATTCTCCAGATGCAGTACCTGTTCATACATTTAAGAAGTTTTCAAAATAAAAATGGCAGGTCTGCAAAATAAGGCTTATGACCCACTTGAAGAAAACAACTTTGGTTTTTATATTTGTGTGTTTATGTGTAAATATTCTGGTTTTATGTAAATATAATGTAAACATATTTATGTAAACATACATAGGTGATATATAGCATATATTCACATTTTCTTATTTACAACTTGGTTATGCAGAGCTTTTCAGAAGATCCCATGTCCTTCCTGTCTGGTATGTGGTCCTCCAACCTCATCTCCTTATAGTTCCCCTCATTTTAAAGCTCATTAAATCTCAGCAAGGAAGAACTAGAATTTGGAGGGTCACTGCTGTTTATCAGACAAAGCTTTAGTTGGTTTTGCAAACATGCCTTCACTGCCTGCCACAATCAATCTTTCATACACGCACAGAGGCAGAGGAGAAATGTCAAAACACTGAGATGCCTCTGACTTCAGCTCACTGTTTCCTTCTCTCTGGCCTCACAGCCTGTCTGTGTTATATGCTGAAGATGAATCAAAGATGAATTGAACTTCAGTGCCCTTAAGGAGGTCACAGTGAGTCTATTCAGGGTACAATTATTTTGTAAATGAATTTAAAAGCGGAATTTTAAATAGCTACAAAATAAACAAGGGCAATAGACACAAAATATATCCGGCCTTTCTGAAATAGTCCACCAACAGCTTCTTCCACGTTTTCTCCGAAAGAAATTAAACCTTTCCAACTTTTCAACTTCTGACATGTTAAATGTTAAATTTTGATAGCCCTAGTCAAGAATAAGGACAGAATAACTCCTCTTTCTGGCAAGACTTTAGCTGTGGTTATGATGCAGGGACATTTTAGAATGAATTTACAAGTTTCAAATACATTTTGTATTCTTATAGTTATAAAAACTAGTTAATACATTCAATTCACCAAAAGTTCCTATATGCTGGGATGCTTTGATGCCTTAATATAAATACCCAACAAATCTGAGACATTTGTGTGTCTATATGTTTCTATATATGAATAGATAGGTAGGTAGGGGAGTAGATGATTTGTGTCAAACACGGTCCCCACTGGCAAATGGTGGCCGAGATCTGTGTACAATTTTAAAACATTCCAATAAACTGCAAAACACAACTGCTGATCTCGTCTGTATTTGTGGCCAAGTAAACAAGGACGGGAGTGACCAGCACATGTGAAGACCTAAAAGGTGTTTGCTCAGTAAATTCAGAGGGAACAGGAGGGCAGGGAGATGCAGGGTTTGCTAAGCAAATCTTTGTGCTGCACTTTGGTAAATGAAGTCACTATCATGAAGCCACTCTGACTCACCCGGGACACGGGACAGATATAGAAACACTGGGTCACGCGTGAAGTGACTGGTCCCTGTTCATTCTTATTCTTCTCTATCCGCTTGTTTGAATTTTATGTAAATTGCTTAATGCATGTTTAACTTGGGGATTTATTATAAGTATAAATGGAGTCATATCAAATCTTTATTTGAAGCAGACACCATCAAGATTGTTCTAATACCAATATTAAAATTGTTTAATACTTTACATTTCTTCTTTCCCAAAGGCCTACGAGTTACTTCATATTATTTTCTCTTTATACATATTATAAAAATTCAGGTTCTCAGGGTACCTGCCTAATATAACACACAACCTGAGAAAAGATGCATGTCTCAGCCCGAGTAGGACCCAGAGCACGTAACTCTGCCTCAGATTCTCTATGGACACCATCCTCCCTCCACAGTCTATACTTGGGTTTAGGCCACACTCTGTGGGTTTTATTAGGGAAACATAAAATGATTGAGACATTGTTTCTAGAGTTTTGTAACCCTCAGAAATCATCCCCACTCAAAAGAAAATCAGTCACTTTTCCTCTATAAAACTTTAGTGACAGGAAAAATAAATGCATCTTTGTATAAAAATCCAAAAATATAGAAAAAGCTTTTTTCCATAAACAGAAATTAAAAATCCATTTACAATTATGTCACAGTAAATAAGTGTTATATAGAAGTTTTAAGAAAGAATCACAAGTGTTTTTCTCCATTAAAAAATTAAGACAAATGAGAAATACTGTGAAGAACTAACAGAATGCTGCAGAAGCAGAGAACAAGTGGAGAGCCGTGATTACCCTTTTGTTTCCTAATAGAGATGTTTCAGAAGCAGAACAAGTCCAGAGCAGAGCTTACCCTTGTTTCTACTAGTACTGCCTGTCTTCTGGCAGAACTCACCATCAGACGCTGTCTTGAACCTCACCTAGACGAGCTAGTGGTGTGTGGTCAGGTTAAGAGCACAAAGAGAAGAAGGTGACATCATGCCTGGTTTTACCATGTCCACTAGGGGAGTGGATGAAAGCTTTCCGTTGACACATCACCTCTGGGATTTGAAGAAGAATGCAATTAAGAGCTAAAGAAGGTAGTAGGTAGCTCTCCTGAACCATTCTGGTTTCTTCTAATTTTTACCTCTGTTTTTTAAATGCAAACTCTTAACCAATATTTATAATAATCTCAGATCTCATCATCAAAATCTTATCATAAACATGAGTTAGTTAACTAGACTTAGCCTTTTCCACTTTACAAAATATATTCTATATGTATGTATAGAACAATAAGATGTATATATTCTATATGTATGTATAGAATAAGAGTATTAGTCTGATGAGAATGCAGTGTCTGGGCAAGGGGTTTGTGGTGGAGGAGGTGGTGGATTGCTATTTATACACACAGGAATTTGGGGGCTGGGCAGGTTGGCATGAGCTGAAACAAATTTTGGACTCAGTTGCCCAGTACACATCAACCATGAAGATTATGCAAGGCTAGTGCATCCATGAATCAAGTTCATAAGAAGGCAGTCCTGAAATCATGGGTGTGAGAACCAGTGTGTATGGAGGAAACAATGGGATTGCACAGGAAGGAGGTCAGCATCCTATCCCAGAAGCCAGGCAGGAGGCTAAGTTTCCACATAGCTCTTTTCCATTGGTCTTTCACTGGATTCCTTTAAAATACCTTGTTTTATTAGGTATTCCCCTCATGACGATTTTAAACATTTGCATGAAACAATTCTTGTCTTCCTGTATGTTCATGTTCAAAATAGTCAAGCTTTTAACAGTTATTTTTTCCTTTCAGTTGATCTATTTGGCTAGGTTCAAAGTCTAACTAATCGTACTGATTGGAATATAATGAAATATATTTGGAAGCTGATATTGTTAAAATGTTGCAGATTTTATAAACAAGCATGATAGGTCTCCCAGGCATCCAAACACTTAGAAGTCGAGTATGGATTTTAAAATAATTTTAATAAAATTCTTCCACAATAATTCAGATTATTGGGAATGTTTTATATTTTTGAAGAGAACATTTTATTTAAAATATAAAATGTATTAACAATGACAAGAGCTATTGATATATATTTTTTCAACAGTAATATTTATGGTAAACCATAGCAAGTTCTACCTTTTTACATTTAAATGTAAACTGAGAATTTCTAAAGCAAAAATAAAATGTTAAGAGCTATAAACATATAAAACATGTCAAAAATTTTGTAAACAATCCTGAAGACACCATCAGAGATATAAAGAAATGGAAAGATACATGCCCAGAACAAAGGAATCCTGAAGACACCATCAGAGATATAAAGAAATGGAAAGATACATGCCCAGAACAAAGGAAGAGGGGCCACCACCTTTATGGACTGGAGGTCAGGATATCAAGCCAAAGAGGACCTCAAGTCCTAAAATCTAATGAAACTTGCCCTGACAGGTTTCAGGCTTGCTTTGGCTCCAAGATTTCTTTATTACTTCCAATTTCTCTTTTTCAGAATAGGAATGTCCATCCTACACATCAGTGTCACTGTTGTATCTTGACCGCAGATAACTTGCTGTCTGGTTTCACAGGTTTTAAATTAACTTACTGAGTAAAATCCAAGTTGAATAATGTGCTAGAGAACTATTCTTAACACAAAGATTAAAAATATTAGCATGATGGTGGAAGAGGAGCTCCTATAATTGTATCCCCTCAAAGCAGCAATAATATAGCAGCCAACCAGGCACAAAAGTCCCTTGCTGGGAACTTCTGGATCTTG